AGGGAGCAATGAATGTAATAAATTTTAAAAAGATATTTATTGTGTTAGTTACTACCTTTGGAACGGTAAAAAATGCTACAAATTTTGAATCTTTAAGGGGTAAAAAATAAAAGTTCTTAGTTGATTTCTTAAGTGTAAGGTAAAACAAAAAATATTTATAAAGAAAAATCAATCATTTTAATACCAAATCAATTTTTGACTAAATTTATATTGTTTTATACTATTTTCAATCCAAGTTACATTTTTGCAGAAAATAATTCAATCAAAACAAATTAATTACTTTAATAGCAATAATATATAAATATCATAAAACTTTTTTAGTAGTTTAGGATAAGTGACCATCTACACTCACAATCTTTTTTTATGATTTTAAATCATTGAATTTAAATTTAACACTAAGTGACCCACACAACACTTATAAACAGTAGAGCAGAACYCACTTGCCCAACTTTTTAATAGCGTTTTATTATAAATAATGTGCAAGCTYATGAAATTATGAATTCAATATTCATGTATATATTATAAAAATCAATCTAAATTTGATTATTTATGTTAGAACTGGTTAATAATTAATTATCCTTAATCAAAACTAGAATTGCTTAACCTTCCCATTAGTATTTATACACAGTTCTTGCAAAAAACTTTTTTTCAGCGCATATTAAATATACAATCATGTCATAAATTTGATTCTGTGGTACTTTGACTCAACAACTCATTTTCAACTATGACTTCACAGGAATTTCTGTGACTGGACTTTTGCTATATTCATGCCTTATTACTAAATAATATAAATCATATAAAATTAAAAAAATACCTTCTTATCTAACTCTTGCTGATGTTTAATTTGTAATTTTTCTAGTTCTTTGCTAAATTGTTGCAATAAAGTTTCGTATTCTTTATCCAAGAGCTGTTTATGACTTTCCATTTCAAGTTTACATCTATCTTCAAGCTTTAAAACGAGTAATATAATAGATGGTTATCAATTTATCATGTTAAATTTACAAATATCTTATAATTTATATTTGGCATAATTACTTTTAATAATGCACTCTGGTGTTCCCTTCTCATTCGTTTATAACCTGACATTTGTTCATGCATTTCTTCTTGCATATGTTCTTTCTGTTGTTTTGTTACTATAGATGTTGTTCGAATAGTTGCAAAATTATTGGGAACTCCAGTAGCCACATGATCATTGGATAGAATAGAGTTAGAATTATTACTAGATGGCTAAAACAAAACATTGGTATTATTAATTAATACATTAAGTAATTAACATTTAGCTTCTTTCACACACACACTAAACTTATAATAATTTTTTTTTTAACATTTAAAAGCAAAATTGAAATATTATTTACAAAGATTTTCAGTTTTATTATTCTTGTTTTTAAAAGTGATTTTGTTTGTATTCATGGTTCGGTATTTCTAATGAAAAACCTTATTTCCTATATTCCATATAAATTGGACATTAATCAAATTATCACTGGTACACATTAATATTGATTATAAATACATTWAAAAAAAATGMTTTAGCGTTTGGAAAAAAATGTATGGAATTAAAAATATATTTAAATTTCTTAATGAGCATTTAAAAAATAAAAACTAAATAAGAMAATATTAGTGGCAAGTGACAAGTCCAAAGGCCGCAAAAAAAGTTTACATATTCATATACATGAATTTGTACTAACTTTTGATAGGTTTAAGAGAAGTAATATTTTATGCTATACAATTAAGCACTACATTTATTTATTAGAATAAATATTTTGTTGGGCTGGCTAAGAGATGACCTAACCATTCCCCCACAAAGTAAAACCACAACAGAACAATGAAACATAAACATAGTAAAACATATTGAATATACATTTCCAAAATTACAATAAAATTGTAACAAATTGATTTTCAATAAATGATAATTATCATATATAATTTTTTCTGTAAAGAACAAAATAAAAGCTATTACTAATTCAGAGTTAAAAAAACTATTTCCATTAATGATAGAATTTTTAACCTTTCTATTTTGTTATAGATAGTAAGTAGTAAGATAAACACCATACTATTACATTTAGATACAAATAAACCAGGACTATTTAATTACGAAAATATTACATCTACATGAGTTGTCTCCRTCTTGCAAATGCATACATACCAAATTGTACATCTTGAATAATTCATTTTAATCTGTTATGTTAAATATTAAGTATTATTAACCTATCATTAAATTTAAAAGTAAGAATACTATCGAATGAATCAAGTGATTACCCTGGTTTTTTTATAGTTACATGCATTTTAAAATCGTAAATTGTTTGTGTACTTCAAAATACTAATAAATTGGTTTAAACTTAAAATTTTAAAAGATATTCACTAGATAATATTCTTACTTTTAAATTGTATGGTAGTCCATTATAATATTTAATATAACAGAATAAAATGGATTATTCAGAATGTGCAATCTGCTATGKTATGTCTTATGTGTAAGACAAAGCATACAAGTGTAGTGTACTATTAAGATAAAAGTAAAAAAAAAWTATGTAATAAATTAAATAACCAATTTATAATAAGAAGCAAGATAAACATTTTTTCAATGTACATAATATATACATTATTTAATAGAAATATTTCACACAGTTTTATAGATACAACTTTTGAGATATTTGTAAATTACGACATTGTTTCTAGTTTTATTTRCCTTGTACAATAACTACAATGATGTTTCATTAAAATACCCCACATAAATATTTGATTGATTAAAATTATATGATATTAAAATATATATGATGTTTGGTGTTCATGTGCAGTGCATAAAAACAATAATAATATGTTAATAATACTTTGTGACGATTTCTAGCTGTTGGATAGTGGTCGTTTGTGCTCATATTAGATATTTCATTCATATTCGGCGTACTATTGGTAGAACTACTGTGCGATGAAGCGCTGACRCCAATTGACTGTATTGAATGTTCTGAAGTTATACTATTACTCTTGCTGCTTTCTCCGCCTGTATGTTCATCAGCATTGTCTGGCATTAATTACAGAAAAATTATAGATTATTTGCTGTTTCATTTGCGAAACAACAAATTTATAAAAAAAAAGTATACATACCATCATTCTCACCAACATTACTCTCAGTTTCATAAGAATCAACCATAAGAATTTTTTTCATTTTTCTATAATTGAGATTGTMTAAATCACGAACAGCAGCTTTTGTTCTTTGTATAAGATCAATCAAAACATTAGATGATCTTGAACGAGTTATTAATTGATGCTAAAAATGATAAAAAATAAATTTACAGAATTTTTTTTAGTATTTTTTGTACTTACTTGTAAAAGTTTAGATGATGAAGGGCGCTCACAAGGATTTTTTTGTAAACATAGTTCAACAAAGTATCGAAATGTGTCTGTCCATTCAGATGATTGTAAAGTAGGAGTATCATTTTGTGCAATATGATAAAGAGCACTCATTGCATTCATGTTAAAATATGGAGGTTTTCTTTCAGCTAAAATAATTTTTATATTTGTTAATTACTATAATAGTGAACTTATTAATAATTGTGGTGTACTAAATTACATTGATTATACATATAACAGTTAAGTTATTAAAATTTGTGTATATTTACCTAATTCAATGCATGTTATGCCCAGTGACCAAACATCAACTTTTCCATCATATTGCCCTTCATCCATGGCTAATATAACTTCAGGTGCCATCCAGTAAGGAGTACCAACAAAACTGTTTGCTGGACATTTTGTACTGGCAGACCCAAAATCAGCTAAATAACAAATAGTATTTTTTAGTTTTAATTTAGATAAATGGTTAAATTTATAGAATAAGTGTAATTACCAAGTTTTACTGTGCCATTTTCTGTTAGTAAGATGTTTCCAGCTTTTACATCTCGATGTATACGACCTAAAGAATGAAGATAATTTAGTCCTCTTAAAACCCCATCACAAATAGCGGCAATTTCTTCCTCCATTAGAGGTCTTTTGTGTACTTCTATAATATCTGAGGCTGAACCCAGACAATATTCCATCACCAACTGAAATTTAAATTATGATGTTTACAGAATGTTTTAATGTGCTAAATGTTCATGTTTTACCCATGCTGTGTGATCTCTTAAAAAACAACCCTTGTATTGTATTGTGTTTGGATGTTTTAGATGCCTTAAAAACCTTATTTCTTTTAATATGTCTTGCCATTTATCCATACTTTGTTTTCCTAAGTAGGACATTTTTTTTATAGCAACTATCTCTTTACTGGCTGAACATCTTGCATAGTATACAGCGCCAAAACTTCCATGGCCAATTTCTCGTAAGTCTTCAAATATTTTATCTGGATCATCTTTATCAAAAAGTTCAGCTATTTCAGGATCTTTCAAGCTTCCTGGCCTCGGAATCGCCGGCATTTTAAATTGAATATTATCAATCTATTTTAAGATATTAATGTATAATGAATATTTTATACATAATATAGTATCTGAAAAAGTATAAATATAAAAATTTAGTCACAGGTMCATTTTAATGTGAATAGGTACCTAACATTAAATATTATGTACCATGTTCCTACCTACTTATAAATGATTTGATAGTATATAAAATATAAGAATTTATAATAAATTTAAGATTAGATACAAATAATATAGGTTTTCCTCATTAGTATCAATATGCAATTATTTTTTGAGAACTGCCAAAGAATTATTCACGTTTACTTATATTAACTAGGTTTAAGATTATTTATCTACTATAAGGTAACAATTAAATATCATAATATAAATTAAACTAAACTTAAACTAATATTAAATTAAATTAATTATTATTAATATTTACTTGTATTTGATCATACTATCAGATCAGTGGGTTATATACTATAACCTCAAACATTTATTAAAATTAAAAATATTATTATTACCTATGAGATGGTATGATGTATACATTATGTTTGTATAAGCCTTAAGGTATACTTAAGAATAATAATTMAAATAGTCACCCAATGCTGACAGAGTTAAATGTGACTTGATTAACAATTAATATTGCAGAGTATGGTGTGTTACTAACTACAAATGGTAAATTGATGTTAGTTTATACCACACTATATAGAATATRCTCATGAATATGGCACGTGTCTTTCACTTCAATTAATTATTTATTCATTATGTCAATGCTACTGATACTTAACATCATTTATAAAAGTAAATAWTTTAACTTAAAAAATGMTTCAAATTATTAGCATTTTTTTTTAAGATATATAATTTATTTTACATAGGTACCTATATAGATAAAAAAAATAAAAATTATAAAAAAATATAAACATTTYAGATAGATAAAAATGTATAAATGATATCTACAAAAATATGTTTTAAATAACTAAAACAATTTAAATTTAATAATTCAATAACTACATAAATTAGAAACTATTTTTTTACAGGAATCAGATATATTATTTATCCATTAGTTTATATTTATGAAAAAGTTGTTTAAGATTAAGTAGTTAAGACAAGAGGCATAGGTATTATTTGCTTAATAGGTATCCCTTTTCACAATGTTAATGGTTGTTTAATTTTTAATTGATTTAAAAATTATGGTAGGAAAGCTATATTTGTAAGCATTTCACGTTTTTGCATTTTAAATATAACCATAATATTCATAACCCTAGCTCAAACATAAGTATATTAACTTTAAAAAGTCAGACACAACTTATCTAAATTTAAGTTTAGGAGCATTAACATTCTCAAAAAAATTATATACTAAACAATTTAAATTGATTATTAAAAGGGCAATTCTTATTTATAATTTGATAATCCTTAAATGGTACAAAAGATCTTCTACATTTAAAAATATGGTCTTAAAGTATAAATTACAAAAATCTGATKTTAAATAGGTAACTGCATTATTATAAAAATTAAGGGGTAAATATGCTAGGAAAATTAATTTTACATAAATATTACTAACTTAGGTAAAAGAAAATACACACCTTGATAACATACAAAGGACTAAAATATTAGCATTTTACTGTAGAAACTAGAAATGTGTTGAATTAACTAKATAACATATGCAATCAATTTATTGATAAAGAATAACTTTAAATTGAAAATAATTATTTATAAGTAATTACTACCTATTCATTAATAGTAGGTATAAAATTAGAAAACAATAATTTAAAATTTAAAAATTTGTCAGAACATTTTTCTATTTTTATAAAAATATGTGTGTATAATCAATTATTTGTGAACCTATGAACTGAGAATAGTGAGAATATATTGGAATATTAGATGTTCTTTAAAATGCAAACCATTATGACGTATGAAAAAAATCAATAATAATACATAATATGTATACATGTAAGTATAATAGGTACACAGTAGTACTATCACTTGATAAATTGTTTTTTTTTTTTTTTTTACTTAACATATTTAACTCTAAATCCATTTGCAAGCAAAATAGGTTTTCAAACATTTTCAACAATAGAAAAGTTAATGAATTATCATTGATTAATTAAACAATAGGTAGGAATAACTGTTTGTATGCGTTACATTGAATTAACTGTTAATTGTTAGTGACAGAATGTASAGTAGTTTAGAAGTAGGAGGTGTTTACGACTGCTGACTGATGCTTGTGTCAAACCACATACAAATGACGAACAGCAATCAATATCAAACGAATCGCAGTTTCATTCATCATTTTATTGATGAACACAAATACATTACACAGTATGATATTCAACAACTGTTGCCAYATACATACATACTATTATATGACATATACATGGATATGAAATTAATTATCATGGTAAAAAATGTGAGAACAAAAAGGGAGAAGGGTACAGAATACAGATACATGAATAAGTACATACTTGCAACAAAGTTCTCCAAAGCGGACCCAAACGTTTTATTTTCCTCGTCATAGTCGTCTCTCGAAATCGATAACACGCACGTTAGATAACGACAGCACGGGCAGACGACTTCTTCGTCAGTGTCAGTGTTATGGACGTCGTTTTATAGTTTATTATAGCATATTTTTGATTTTTATTCGTTGTTATTATTACTATACATCACCGGACGGCCGATTCAGTTGAAAACCGATTCGTCATCCGTTTTCGATAATGCGAATATGTGATATTATACGCTGCATACGTACAGACTACTAGTTACTACGGACAGAGACACGGTAAAAAAAACACATACACACACACAACACACACACACACACAGACAGATAAGGTGTCGATAAACAGTCCGAAAATGTAATTAAAATTACGGTAAAAAAATAAAATAATAATAATAGAAAAAACGAAAAGAGTGAAAATTATTATTATTAATAAAAAATGGAACAGTGAACACGATCGATCCAGACTTTTTCGTCAATGAGCGAAAACGCAGTGCGACCAACCCGACGGAGTCAACACGCAACAGTCTTGATTGTATACAATTCTGCACTCATCACGGGTGGGTGTAAAACTGTAAAATATAATATTATATTATATTAATATATTATTATATGAGCCATGAGGCACCCAACCCGATGGTTATGGAACTATGGAAAAATTTAAAATTCTTATGCTKAAGCCAGCTCCGACGATACCGATAAAATACCCAACGCCCGACACTTCGACAATCTTTAGTCACTTTTTTGCTCGTAGTCAGAGACAGCGGACAGCGAGTCGGCGACACCTGTACGTTTTGGTAGACGCCGGGAGGTCGATTGCCGGATTATGTTATTATGTATCCTAAGACGTGTCCTCCGGAGTCCGAGCTCGAATGCCCATCGAAATTGTGATATAATACCATCCACCAAACACATAATAATATAATCACATAAATTAGTTAATATTATTTTTCTCACTATTGAAATACTTAAGTTGGGTACCTAGTAAAAAATCAATACATACTTTTAAATTGTAAATTATATTGGTTTAGTGCACATTCATCACGGTTTATTGGGCACCCCGTTAATAATTGTGTTACGAATCCGACGCGAAAACAACTATATTTGTTCTTTTTTTCATGATACTCAATATGCATAAAGTACAACGAAAAAAAAAGTGGATACCGCTCTGGGCGTTCTGTTGTAAATTACGCGGTGTCGTGTGGGCGGTGAGAAATTTCAATATACATGTTTTTATTTTAAATTTGATGATATAAACTGATTTTATACGAAAAATGATTCTTAACGAAGGCAGTCAGTCTGTAGGTATTTATTTTGCTTTTATAAATTAGTAATAATGTAGGTTGAATTACTTATTGCCGAAAAACATGGGTATCTATTCATTTAGTATTTGAGCTACCGAGTGAAAATCGAGTTTACATACCATATGTGACCACTAAAACGATTATATCTAAATTAGGTATGTCGTTACTCGTATGTATAGACAACGTACGACTCTATCCACAGGCAAGACATTTTTTTTGAAATAAAATCATTTTGTTTTTTTAATAAAATTATAGGTAGTAGGCAAGACATTTTTTGAATATTATTGACATACTGCTATAATAGGTGTGTGAATTCAATACGTATTCATGTTTTTTTTTGTTTTTTTTACTGATCATTTGTTTAACTGATTTTGAAAATTATTAAACGTAATCTTGTACTACTAGAATTTTGACTCAGCGAATAACGAAACCATTTTTATCGACATCTATAAAGAAAAAATTGAAAGTTAAATGTGTCTACTGTCACTCGTATTCGAATTACAAAAAAATAAGAAAATCGTTCGACGAGGTATCGTTATTTTACAGTTGAACACCAATTATTCAATATCGTTTGAATGTAATCCTCAAAAGCACATTAAAAATTAATTATACTTTCCAGTAAACTGTTTTGTACTAGGTAAAACACAGAAATTTCTTTTTCTTATCTTTAAATAGCCTTTGAAGAATCAAAACACCATAACTTTATGGTGAATAGAAAATGCAAATATAAACATTCAGAGACAATTTCACGTATCAATGGTAATTTTTTTTTTTGTTTTTGGTTAAACAAATTTACACATACACCAAATACCAAATAGGTTATTAAAATTATTTTAGACAAAAATAGCTTTTGCGAAGGAATGTCCGTGTATCGTAAAGTTTTTGCTTTCCAGACGCTTTTGATGACTATTTTTATTTAAATTTCAAAAGTACCAACTAAATTCACTTTCCCACTAGAAAAGATACTGAAGTCGAAAACCTAAGTATTATTTCATCGTGAACTACGAAGGCCTATTTGGCGTGGTGACATGGTGACTGCTCGAAGAGAGATGTTGCCCATATGACCGAGGTTCAAACAGACGACGGTGCGCGTTGTAGTCGAGCCTAAGGAACGCTTGGCTACTCTGTCCCCACATCGTATACTAAGGTAAAGTATTTCTTTTACAGTACACCGACAATAAAAAATAAATTAATACCCATCATTGTAAAGTGAAATTATTGAAGCATCATAAATAAAACACATTCACCTAGAACAATTTTTTTATTTATGTTTTTGAGTTATATTAAAGTCACCCATTACAAAAATTATAAAGAATAATATTTTTGAGAGCAACTTTTTATGTTGCGCATGTGACTGAAATAAATAAAAATAATGCTTATATATCCTCTTCAAATATTAGAATGGTATTGCCCTATTATCAAACTGAAGAGGACGTTGTCCTTACCTTCTCAGTAATCCATAATATACCAAAACATGTCCAGCTGTTTAAATGATGTATTGTTAGCTAAAATATTGAGTAAGTTGACCTACTATCTAAGTTAAATATAAGAATATTATTTGTGTTCTCTAGTTATTTTTATTATATTTTTATGAATATGAATGTGAAAATTTTCAATTAATATTTTTTGTACTCATAATTAGTTTTGGATGATAATGACCAAAACTTCGTTGAAATATGAATTTAAAATGTCAAAAATGCTTATAGGTATAACCTTGAATATGTAATTGAAATAATTTATAACAAAATACACAGATATTAAATATGAAAAAAAAAAATAAAGATCTTCATCGATCAATATGTTTTTATAACAATCTAAACAATCTAATAGAATTATTTTCTAACTCATAAGTCATAAACACAAATTATATTAGATAACTGATAATAATATCAAAAATTTCCAAAATGTTATTATTTATAAAATATATACTATTTATATATTTCTTGAAAAAATCAATATAATTTATACTCCCAACAGTGTCAGATTTATAAAAAAATGTGCATAATAAGCTGGCATATTTGTTATCTAAACTTTATCAATTGAATTTATATCATACTCAGGAATAATTCTGGTGTATGAAAAAATAAATGCCAAGTTATTAATATCCTAGATCCACTCATAACCCAATTAAAAATTAAAGTAATAAAAAAGTCTAAAGAAAAACACAGATAATGTTTTTCTTCCTAAGTTTGATTATAGGCCATTCACTCTAATATTTAAGCAATTAACATAAAATTGGATATGGTAAAAATATATTTTGGTTATGCTCTAAAAGAACGGATACTATACAATCAAATTTCAGAGAATTTTAATTTTGGGTTAAGACAAGATAAAATGTAATTATAAATTATATTTATTCACATGTTTCAACACTGTTAATATGATCATCTATATCATGTTCACTATTAACATTATTTCCGTCACAATTTTTATAATTTAAATTTCTTCTTTCAAATCGTAGTCGGTTGTTTTCTTTTCTCTTACGTTTGATTTCTTGTTCTACTTTATCAGGGTCTTTGCCTTCATTTATTAATTTTTTTCTTTTGTTGATTAAACGCCGTTCATCAAAATCAGTTTCATCTAACTTAATCTGTGCTTCTCTTTTTGTAACATGTACTTGAGTCAAAATCTTGGCAACATGTAGTCCTATAATAAAAATAAGATAATAATTAGGTATGATACTATTGTTGAACATTTTAAATTAATAAGTAATAAGTATTAATTTGAAATAAATAATTACATTAATTTAATAATTTGTTTTATCTCCAATGATGACTATTAATTTCATTTCAAACTATTATTTTATTTTTATTCTAACACCAAATCTATTATATTTATCATTATACTAATATTTCATATTTCAACTATGACTAATTTATAAAGATAGTTATTGTATAAGATAGCTATTTAAGAATTGTTTTGTTTCTGTTAAACTTGAATTCAAAGATTTGTAAGCCCAAAGACATATAAAAAAATTTGAGGGTAAATAAATTACAATTGTTTTTAAGATTTCACTTAGTTAGGAATTACAATACAGTAGAAGAATAAATATTAAAATTGTAAAGTAGTAGTATTTTTTATGCCATTTGAAAATTGAAATGTAAAAATGTTACAATCAGTCTCACAAAGGTCAACATATATAATTCACGTTTGATAGAATAAATGTTTAGATATTAACCTGAATTGGCCCATTATTAATTATAAAAAATTATTTGTGTTTCTAAGATTTTTGATGATTTTTATATTTTTAAAAGAAGTAGGAATATATAAAATATGTAAGTACACCAATTAAAAAAAAGATTTTAACATGCACAAAAATTAAAATATTGTTAAAAATTGACTAACAGATAATAAACATAAACTTTTCTAAACTTTAAGTATGATAATTGGCCAAATTCACTCTCGTAAGGTAGGAGTAGTACTAGAAAATTGTTTTTGCTAAAGCCAAATTTTAAATGTTTAAAATTTGTATAACGGTTACAACTTAAATGGGAGTGACAAACTCACAAGATACAACAACAAAATTGTTAATCTGTTTAAATATTCTCACTTGACCTTATAGCACATAGTTTATTTATTAATTTATTTTATTTTATTAGAAAATCTTATACAATTCTACAATTTATTATTTAATCTTATTCATAAATAAAATATATATCAAATATTTACTGTAGAAAAAAAAATTACCTGACACATCATATTCTTTTAATCGAATATTAATTTTCTCTTCAATTACTTTTACTATTTTGATATCATGTTGGGTAACAATAGATACAGCACGACCTTGTCTTCCTGCCCTAGCAGTTCTTCCAACTCTATGAACATAATCAGTAGCATTGTTTGGAATTATATGATTTATTACTAATGATACTGCAGGAATATCAAGACCACGACTGGCAACATCAGTAGCAATTAAAATTTTAGAAACATGGGATTTGAATTTTGCTAGCCCAGCTAATCTTTGACGTTGAGACATCATTGCATGAAGTGACACGGTGTCAAATCCAACTTCATTTAATGTCATATGCAGTAACTGACAGTTTCTATAAAATATTTTTTCAATAAATAACATAATACAAACAATATACTTGGGTAGGTTTTCTATAATAATTATTATTATTATTCATTAATTTATTTTAATTTTTAGTCAGCATAATTATAATTTTTAAATGATCTCTCTGCTTAAAGTTTAAAATATCTACAATAATTAATGTCATGACAGTATTAAAAAAAATTGAACTGCATTAAATTTTAAATATATTTTGTACTTACTTGCACGTATCAGTAAATATCATAATTAGTCCGTTTTCATCTTTTTCACGAAACTGTCTAACTATTTCCACCAAATATCCATCCTTTACATTATATGGACATAGCACATAAAATTGTTCAAGTTCATCAACTGTTTTCACTTCAGCAGTTGATTCATACACAAAAGTCTAAAAACATTATAGTATAAAAGTGTTTTTTATATCAATATTGTTGTTTAAAAAAGTATGTATTAAATACAATAAATCATGGGATATCAAAATATAAAACATTTACATTTATACTAACACTGTTAAGTTAGAATATTTATTTTTTATATGTATATCCAGACATTTTGCATGTGAATATTGTAAATTTTTTTTGGAGTGTGCCATTAAATTATTGATATAAGTATATAAAAAGATAGTGTTCAGTGAAAGGGGCATTGAACTAAAACTACCCGATACACTATACGAGACGCTATCACCCACTCCCGAGACAACCAATAAACTCCTAAATTTCGTCAACTCAACAGGACTGCGTCAACTGATTTAAATATTCTAACTTAGATTAAAATGTAAATCCTTAATTATAAGTAATAAGTAGAAAGCAATTATGTAAGTAATTAATGTAAATTTNATGTAAATTTAATATGTAACATCGGCTAATAACCATGTAGTTGATGCCATAAACAATTAATAAAAAAAAAAAAAAAAATAGTGTAAAAATGAATAAAGAGTAAAAAAAAATTATTTAGCTCTTGTAAATTATATTTAAACTAATTATTTTAGTTCAAAGAATTGATACATTTACTAAACTTTAGGAGACCATAGTTAATTAACTAGTAAATCAAAAAAAAAAAAAGCTTTACCAGAATTTATTAAAAGTATAGTTGTAACCATTAAGTTAAAATTAAGTTGATTTTGTAATTATTATAAAAAAATTGCCTGTAAAAAATAAAGAAACACGTCTTTTTTGTTTTTGAAATCACATATTATCGATACATAACGGTTAAAAAACCCAACATACAATTACATAAGATACACATGGTATACACGTACAATTTAGTATACATAATACATTTCATATCCAAATATAATATGTATTATACAAGTAATAACTTTTTACTTTTTTCTTTCACATGATATCTTGTTGTGTCTCAGAGTACATAAAAAGTGGTTGAATAGCTTTTTTGAAAAAAAAAGCATCAAATGTGTTTTTACAGAAACAAGACTAATAAATATATAATTTGTTATCTCCATAGTTATATATCTTAATCACTACCTACTCAAATCCAACTTATAATATAACACAATAAAATACATGCAATGTATAAATACATATTTATTATTAAATTAAATTAACTTACATTTTTTTTTGTTATCATTTTAACTTTTTCAAGAGTATCGGTCATGGTGGCACTAAATAGTAAAGTTTGTCTTTCTTTTGGGAGAGCAGAAAAAATTGTTGCTATTTGTTTATCAAATTTACCTCCTAATAATCTATCTGCTTCATCTAATACTAGAAATTTTATACGTTTCAATGAAAATGTATCACAGCTTTCTAAATGATCAGCAAGTCTAAATAAATAATGAAATAAAATTAATGTTGTATTTATTCATTGAATATATACTCTGGCCCAGGAGATGATGACTATAAAATATTAGTTCTGTGAATCAGTCCCCTCATTTTTCACCCTTATATTTATTAGATAAACTACTATCAACTTTTGATTTTCAAATGGTAACCTATACTTAAAATTTCATAAATTAATAAARCTATTTTTTWWATTAATTATTACATTAAAATTTCGAATTTAGCGCTATTAGTTTATGAGTTATAGGTATTTAAAGTTTAGATTGGCAGAGTGGAGTGGTACGGGGTTACCCCACAAAATGCTTATCCACTACTCCGCTTGTCTAAACTTAAAATACTTATAACTTATAAACTACTCGTCCTAAATTCGATTTTTATGTATCAACATTTTAAGAAAAATATTCTGCTTTGGAATATGAAATTAAAAAACTATGTTACTATTCAAAAAAGTAAAAAACTTAAAAAAATATAAGGATAAAAAATATTTAAAAATATAATTTTTTAATAAAAGCGTTGGTTTTTTTAACAACTTGAAACTATGTAAAAAAGTATTTTGAAAAAAGTCAATACTTTTTTAAATAATGTGTGTTGTTTGATAAAAGAATCACCCTGTGTAAATCGGTAGCAGTGACAACGATAATTTGTTTTAAACTAACGTTAATGTTATATTTTTTAATTTTGTTATTCAAAATTTCCAATCATAATGAACTAGTGTGTAGTGGGTGTACTACAATAAATCAGAAAGGAAAGTAAATATTTTATGAGAGCTGCTGTATACACGCTAATGAGTAGTAGGAATAGAACAATGGTAGGAGAAAATCCGACTAACAGCATTCACAACTATTAGAATTAATGTACAAATTAAGGTAATTCTCTCGTGGGCTGGAATATAGATATGAATAAGTAAATACCTTCCAGGAGTTGCAACCACTATATGAGGTTTATTTGATAATTCTCGTGCTTGAACTATCATTTCCATTCCACCAGTAACTACACAATGTCTGAGATTCTTAGGTTTACCAATCACAGCAAATTGATCTGCAATCTACAAAATTGAATGAATACATTGTTAAATAAAAAATGTTTATAGTTTATACCTAGACTAAGAAAAAGGATAAATTAACTCACTTGATAAGCTAGTTCTCTAGTAGGTGTAAGAATAAGAGCAAATATTCCATAAGGCTCTTCCCAAAGTTTTTGAAGAATAGGCAAAGCAAAAGCCAATGTTTTACCACTTCCAGTTTTAGCACAACCTATACAGTCAATTCCATCCAATATTTTTGGTATGCAATTTTTTTGAATTTCAGTAGGTGATTTGACACCTGTATTTATATAGAATAAAATATTTATACAATAATACTAGTTTATGTAAATAGACCTATACATATCAATAATTTTCTAAAACTAAAATATAATTAATTTATAATGTATAGAGCATGGAAAGAGGTACTCACCAACCGCTTGAAGCTGATCACATAAGTATTTTGATAAATTTAAATTTTGAAAATTCATGGTGAACAATTTTTTTAATTGTTCAAAAATAACATTATTTTCAAAATATTTTATTAAAAAAGTACAAGCAATAAGCACGTGCCACTGAAAAGTGAAAACACTGAAAACTAAAAAATATTATTTGAATAATTTGATAATGACTATTATCAAATATCGTTATCTTTAATTTTCGTATTGTAAATTTGTCAGTTGTGAGTTGTGACACGAATGTGTTTGTGATTGTGATTGTGAGTGTACTGATATGTATATATATATATATATGTACTGATATCACACAATAATGGGGCATCCGGCATAGTCCCATAGATAATATATACATATTATATATTATCTATGCATAGTCCTAACTCCTAAATGATAGTGGAGAACGGAGAAGTGAATTTACTGGATTTGTAAATAGGTACTAAATTTGTTACATTAATTATATTTGAAAGTTGGACAATAAAAACAAATAGTATTGATAATTTATTTAAAATATACTATGAATACTACATTTATTAAATTTAAGTATTAAATCATTTGTAGTGAACAATTTTTTTAACATGAAATTATTCTCAACTTCTGAATAATTATACTTATGAATTTAAAAATATGTTTTGTACATTGTAATTCATTTCAAACGATTTAAAATTCACTGTGATAATATATATTATAATTATTGGTGAATTATTTTCATTAATGTTATAATTTATATTAATGTTGAATAAAAATTAGAAACAATTTCTGAATAAAATGAATACTTGTGCTTGTAACTACAAATTAATTAATATACTTACTTTGAATTCAAAGTATTACCAAAATACATTTTTGTCTTCTCACCGTAAGTTATTAAGTAATAAAATAATTCTAATAAATAAATAATGGTGAATTGAATTGTTATTTAGATATTTGGTCAAAGTATCAACATGCAATTCTGCGACGATCAGTTTTCAATGATTCTGTTAGAACTGAAAAAAGCCGTTTAAAAAAACTCCTAATAAAATCTTTAAAAATTGCTTCAATGGCGTTTGGTGTATCATTAATAGCATTTGGAGGATATTCTCTAGGTTGTATATTTTTCTTATTATTTTTCAACATGTACTTGTTTTTAACGTTGAAAATTGAATATATTTTAATGAAAACAATACAAAATAATATAAACAATAATTTGTAGTTAATATAATAATATTTATAAATTTTGTTTACAAAATGCATATGAAATAATTACTATAAGCCATTAGAATTGGTAGGCATCGTGAGTGCTATCAACACTCATGATAATTAAAAATAGAACCCAGCATCAAAATTTCAATTTTAGTCTACCATCATTTTTTAAAGAATTTTAAACACATATAATTAGTTCTTATTGAAAAAAATCTAAATCATTGAGAATAATTTTAAAATAGGTATACTTTCAAAAACCTAATAATTTAAACGATATACTGTTTATTTTTGCTAAAATCATAGTGTTTGAAGATGACGAATTAGTTCAAAAARGAAACAAAAATATTCCACTCATTATTAAAATCTATGAACGGATATGTTTTAGAATAGAATTTTATCATAAGGTATGTCATATTTATGGGTTTTATTACAAGTTATAGCAAAATTTTTTTTTGATTATACATTTATATATTACTAAAAATATATAAATATGTAATCAAACATTACCAATTCATTAAGTTCCTTGATAATAATTTTGTTTTCATTTAAATGTATATTATATGACTTAGATGTTTACAATTCCTGCAACCAATAAATTATTACCTGATTCATTACCAGATTATTATGATAAACCTCAATATACACTTGTATTAGAGATTACTGATCTTCTTGTACATCCAGAATGGAGTGTAAGATAATAATACTTTAATATGTTGTATGTTTTTTTTAAATAATAAATTAAAATGGTAATTTAAACATTTTCAGTACAGTACAGGTTGGAGGTTTAAAAAAAGACCAAATGTTGATTATTTTTTGGAAAGAGTTGGAAAGATTTTTGAAGTTGTTGTTTACACTGCTGAAAATGGTTATGTATGTTAGTTTTTATATCAGTATATTTTTCAGTTGGACTCATTGAAATGTATTTCATTCATAAATGTATTATTATCATTTTTATTGTTATTAAAGATTGCGTCTCCAATATTAGATGAAATTGATCCTAAAGGTTGGATTCAGTATCGCTTATCTCGTCAATGTACTGAATTTCGAAATGGTCAATTAGTAAAAAATATTGAAAGAATTAATCGTGATTTGTCAAAAGTCATTGTAATAGATTGGAATACAAGTTGGACACAACTTCATCCTTACAACACTCTTATTATACCTAGATGGAATGGTGATGAAAATGACAACTCGCTTATTGACCTTGCAGACTTTTTAAAAGGTTTGATTATACCGTAAACTTTTTTTTAAAGTTTTAAATAAAACATTTTTTCAATTTGTAACTATTAAAAAATGTCTTTAAATTTAACAATAGCTATTGATATATTATAATTATAGTGGTATTTGCTAATGAAGAAAAAGATGTAAGAGAGATCTTAAATGATTACAAACAATTTGATGATCCTATAAAGGCATTCCGGGAGAATCAAAGAATATTAAAGGTAATATTATTGTCAAATTCTATTTCCATTTTATTGCAATTGATGTTAAAAATCACTAGTTTTACTAATATTACTAGTAAAGGAAAAATGGCATCATATAATATGCAGTCTACCAGCTGTTGTCATTTACTATAAAATGTGGTCTACCTGTTGCTGATCATTTTTTACACAGGCTTATGAGTTTTATGATTATCTTTGATGAAAATGGTTTAATTACTTTTCATTATGACTTTGTATCTAATGACATTTAATAATAATGCTTTGAAATTTCATAAAAGTTCGATCTCAGACGCTCTATATGTCACTTGTTGCATGACACTACAATTTATTCTACATATTATTTTGGAGCTTACTCAGTCACACACACACATTATGTTAGTTAAAGATTTTTCTTTAATCATAAGTAGTGATGAATTAATGATCAATTTTTTAATTAGTAAGAATGTTTTTGCTAACAATAAAAAAATCGATTTTGTATAAATATAGAAGCGAGATTAATTTGTACATACTTTAGGAGAGTGGCAAACAAAAGAGAGATTTACGTTGCTAATGAAAGGATGTCAAACAACTCAAACATGAAACAACTTTTAATTTTTTTTCCCCAGTAGACTGCATGCTATATGACAACCTGAAACACTATGAGGTTTAAAGTTAAAACATTTGTTATAAGTTATAAATCAATTATTTTTGTATTTTATTTTTTAGAAAAAAAACAAGGATGTTGATGAAGAAAAAGAACAGGAAATAAATAAAGTTGAAGATAATAATAATTCATGGTTTTCATGGATACCGTGGATTTATTGAATATAGAAACACACAATACTATTTTTTTTACATAATGTATATTTTATGTGTATATTAATAAGCATGTTGTATACTTAATACCATTTGAATTTTAATGATTGAATAGAAATCAAAAATTAAAATTGATCATCTATTTTTGTATCTTTATTTGTATTTTCAACTTATTTATTCATAAACATATTAATTTATATAATAAACATGCTTTTATCATAGAACATTTTGATTTTATTAATTTATTAAATATTATATTTTATGAAATTGTTGCACAAATTCAAAATATATAAACCAGATAGATGCCATCTAATAAATGTGTATAATGTTTATATATTGTTATTAATAGATATTTTGTGGTCAAGACTATTCTTTTTTCTCTTGTCGCCACAAGCTCGTTTAAAGAAAATGGTAATCAATTAAGTATTTTTGTAAAACAAATTACTAAAATCATTATTATTTGTCCAAAATATAACATAAATTACTGTAAAAAATAATTTTCTAGATTTTTTGATTATAGTATGAACTATGAGTTACACGTGAGGAACTATGCATTACATTCTCAAGCTCAGACCAAATGAAATTTTTTATTGAAATTTAAAGAAAAAATTAAAATAAATTTCAAATGTCTATAAATATCTTATACAAAGTTGAAATATTTAAAAAACAATTATAATCATTATTATTATTTTTTACAATTAATAAATGTCTCATATATCTACTAATGTTTTAATCTATTTTAAATGACAAAATTTAAACTTCAGATGCTCATAAAATATTTGTGGAATTACGCTCAATTTTTTATTTTAATCTCGACTATAATACTTATATTATAAAATTTTGAATTTTTACTACCTTAGGCAGGTATTAATATTTAATTTAAAATGTTTTGAATAAACAAAGAACAAATCTGACATAAAATTTATCTATGAATTATGAATTTATGATAAATATAAAATAATTTACATCACTATATGAATTGACGACCATAAAACTATCGCACTATTTTTTGATACTATAAGTAGACCGTTGACGAGACACCACAGTAGCATAGGCACAATTAGGTGGAGGCTAGGGGGGCTTATCCCCCCCCCCCAAATAAAGCCATGACTTCTATGTGTAGATTAAAAACTAGAATAGCCTATAAGTAAACTTACAATTTACACACCCAGCCATTAGTGCTATTACCAATAGTACCTTTACCTGAATATATCTATAAATTGTTATAAATATTAATACTAATAGGTACTTAGTTATGGCTATTATGGTCGAAGGTAGGTACAATAAAAATTAAAATTTTACATAAAATATGACATTATAATTTTTTGGTTAGGAATTCATAACTCCCAGCTAAATGTTGAAAAATTTTTAACTCAAGTGGGACATAATATTAGGGCATGGCCAAAGTGATTAATGTTTTTTTGTATAAAATAAATTTTATTTTTGCATACATTAAAAAATTTGACTGTAACATAATATTCATATGATCAGATCTCCAATTGAGAAAATTGTGATTTATATTTAATTGTTTAAAATAAATTTTATTTTTGTATATATTATTTTTATTTAAAAGTATCAATCAATCTGACCAAAAAATTATAATGTCATATTGTATGTAATATTTTAATTTTTATAGTACCTACCTATAATATTGATTGTAATAATTGTATTATAAATTATTGCTATTATTTTTAATAACATTAATGTTTTCTTGTACGACATAATATGTATAATAAATAAACCGGACTTTTATTACATCGTACTTTTTTTCGCGGGTCTTTTTTACCGGACTTTTGTTCGTAGATTCCAATATTCATAGCACCGGCTATCCACGATATTATTGACTTTTGTAAAAAGTTAATAACAATAATTTACTAAATAGTATCATAATAAAAGTTACTTATTAATTATTATTATACTTATATGTTAGGTTCCTTCACGCTAATATTTAAACTATACAGGTATAGTGTGGTAACTGTACTACTGTGCATACTGCGAWTCTACGAACWAAAGTGGATTATTAACGAAAATTATCGTAGATAGCCGGTGGCCGGTGCTATGAATATTGCATACATTAAGCGCCGTGCTACATTAATAATTATAATTTTATGACAAACATGCTAATTCTAAATAAATACCCTAAACACTTTAGGCACGTATACTATTTCACAGTTATTAGATATAGTCATACAGACAAACATCATATAAAAGTTACAATTTGATTGATTAAATGAAATCAATATAGCTGTTTGGAKACAGGGCAAATTATGCGAATTAAAAGAAAAATTAACGGTTATCGGTAATACAAAATTAAAAAAGCTTTTCCAGTTTTCCATGACTTCTTTTATATTCATAATAATACGTTAGAGCGTTCAACAGTATAATATTTATATCCATTTCAGAGATGATAAGTTTATTCCACACTATCGCTTTTTAGAGTAAAATAAAGGGTAAAATAGACATATATGCGTTCTAACGTACTAACTAGAGTTTTAATCCTATAATAATTTTGAAAACATATTTGAATTTGTTATGAAGTCTATTTGATAGAAAAGTTAAAAAATATTTTTTTTATTTAATTATTTCCAAAAAAAATAAAGATAGCCATTTAGTAGTTTATTTTTCTAAAAATATTAACGTTTCAAAATTTTATTTTCATTAATTTCCTGATTTTCAATATTTTTTTTTAGTTTTGAGAAAAATTGTGAATTATTTAACACCGTAATGTTATCAAACATGTGACMCACCGCGCCGCGCGCATTCCYATACGGCCGGCCGAATACTTTCCGTGTTCCTAATAGTTTTAAATTTATAATCATATTTTATTTCTTCAAAACTAGGAAAAATATTAAAAATCAGGAAATTAATGAAAATAAAATTTTGAAACGTCAATATTTTTAGAAAAACGGTCGGTATGTAATTCCCTTAAGAAAAAAATTAAAATGTCCATTATTTTTAATTGTAATTATGTTATATTTTTTGCTCTGGCTGCACTGGGAATATAACCGTTCAATTTACTGTTTTTAATTCGAACTTTGAAGTCAAAATATTATATTATGTTCTGAACTTCAAAATAAGTACCTAATGCAGTAATGTATACAATAAGTTAATAATATTATGTTTGGTAGGAAATTATAGTAGCACTATATTTATTATATTATAGTAGTATTATAGTACGATAATAATTTATTGTTATTCCAATAATTACCAATTGCAATCGTTTATTCCTCTATATTTCGATGATTATTTGTCGTAACTCGTCAAATGTGTTAAGATAGTAAAATGTGAGGACATTATTATTTATTTTGTTTTTGCAAGTCACACTCACAATTCGCCAAGACACCAAATTAAATGATGTCAAAACACTGGATGGCAGAATAATTTCTTCTTATTTGACATTGTGTTGACAAAAAACAACAATTAATACTTACTATATACACAGTATAGTTGTTAAAGTTTAATGTTAATGTTTTTTAGATTTTTTATCAAAAGGTAAGTGTATACAAATATTAAAACTTTTTATGACCAAGTTCAATTAGACTTCACACAACGCAACTGTATCTTGAAATCTCTGAACTAAATACCTACCTAATGTTAAATATTTATTGTACCTACCTATTATTTAGTTGTTTTCTAAAGAAAATTATTCACAGAATCAAAATGTAAGTATAATAATATGAGAAAATTATCTCCCGAATATTATGATCAGATAATGATTGAACTTTGTTATAATTGTGTAATGTGTTAGTTTATATTCATTATATTTAGCTACCTACTATACCCATCAAATACTATAATGTATATTATACATCTAATATACTAATCCATCTTAGACATAAACATACATGTGATGTGATTGTAGATGTATATGATAAGTCTAAGGTTAATCTAGCTATATGCGCCACTTTTTTAGTCTACTTGAAGATCCAATTAAAGTATTATCTATGATATATTATATAGTAGATCAAATTCAACTCTTTTTTAACATCTATACATAGACATTAATTATCTAACATTATAAGTAGATCTACTGTAATAAGTAAAAATATAATCCTACTTAAAATCATGCACCTAAAATATTTATTTTTTCAAATGACTAATTCTTAAACTGAGTTAAATTTGCATTAGAGCAAAAACTACTGATCAAATCAAAAATTGAAAATTGTTGTTTCAAATTACAGACTCTTGTTGATAGATATTTAGTAATATATCAGGTTTATTTTGGTTTACTCTTTTAGAACTGTTATTATGGATGCATATGATAAATTAGAAAAAATTGGTGAAGGAACTTATGGAGTTGTGTACAAGTGTATGGAACGTTCTTCAAAAAAAATTGTTGCAGTTAAGAAAATACGTATGGAAATGGAAGATGAAGGTATACCGTCTACTGCCATCAGAGAAATAAGTATATTGAAAGAACTTAACCATCCAAATATCGTGAAGTAGATAATTATGATTAATGTTTATTCTTTAGTTGCACATATTTAATTAATCAAGTTTATTTAGTTTAAGGGAAATTCTTATGGATGACATACGGTTATATTTAGTTTTTGAATTTGTTCCCATGGACTTAAAAAAATTCATAGACTCAAGACCAAAAAAACACTTGGACGAAGTTCTTACTAAATCTTTTACTTATCAAGTAAGTTTTAAAACATTCCTATGTAATCTTATATTACTAAAGTTTTAACAACCCTTTTGTGCACTTAATATGTTGTAGTTATTAGTGGCTTTATATTATTGTCATGTAAGGCGGATATTGCATAGAGACTTAAAACCGCAAAATATATTAATTGATGTAAAAAATAGTATATTAAAAGTTGCGGATTTTGGTTTGGGCCGTACTTTTGGTTTGCCAATTCGAGTCTACACACATGAAGTATTTATACAACACTTTAGTTTTCAGTTGTAAAATTTCATTAAGGTAATGTTTTTGATTTCTTTGTTAGGTAGTAACATTGTGGTACCGAGCTCCTGAAGTGTTGTTAAACACTCAACGCTATGGTTGCCCAATTGATATGTGGTCTGTAGCATGTATATTTGCAGAAATGGCTTGTGGAAAACCTTTGTTTCAAGGAGATTCAGAAATCGATCAACTTTTTCATATTTTTAGGCATGTATAATTCTTATTTTTTTTATGTTTATTGAAAATTGAAAATTTATTTTTCTAAGAAATCTCTTATTCACATTTGATGTTTATTATTTTAAAAATGTACGGTATATCACAAATATGTTAGTGTATGCCAAATACACTGTTCATGAGCCGATAAGCTTATTGGAAAACCAGGAATTTCTTAATAGACTCTTTAGGGCTGTCATATAGTATGTAGTCTACCGGTGAATTTACGAGTAAAGTATGCGGTCTACCAGCGATTTACGAATATAGTATGCGGTCTACCATGAATAAATAAATTAAAAATATTATAGTATAATTATTGTAGTAGTAATGTCTAGTAAAAAATTAATAATTAAAAATGTATAAGTTAAAAAAAATTGTCAATGAATATAAAATAAATAAAATATAATACGTTATACAAAAACTTCCGCCCTATCTCTCAAAAATTCATTATTTAAATCTGATTTATTTATTCCTCGCCACCATGTTTCCATGAGATACCTGCAATAATATGTATAATATAATATTACATTAAATTTATTAAACATAACTTATAATAATTTTACCTTGGAAGGAGATCAGGACTTGTACTACACATATTTTTAACTACTTTTAAGCGTAATGGTCTCCATAAAATTTTACAAAATGTTGAAGTATTGTTATCTGTGTATAATGCAATTAAGATAAAGTGTATCTAAAAAATAGAAAAAGATTAAAGTGTATCTATTAAAAATAAACTTAGGCCTATGTAAAAACCACAGGTAGACCGCATCCTACAGTGGCCAGTAGAACGCATTTGCCGGTAGACCGCATACTATATGACAGCCCTTTCAGTATTAGGGCTTTGGGGCCATGTTTTTTCTTTTGATGAAAAGACTCCTTGGTTTTTTTTCATGTAGGGGCTTTTTTTAAATTTCCCAATAGGCCAAAAATGGCTTATCTGCCCATGTCTCTGTTTATGAAAATATAATAGTATTAAATAATAACCCCATAAGATGTAAGGTAATAATTCTCTTACTAATCAGTTCTTCAGTTTAGTATTGGTTACTTACATTTTCATCATAAATTATGAATAAAAAACAACTTCAGTAAACTGATCACAAAAAAAAATATAACATACAAATAAAGATAAATAAAACTAATTCAAACTTATGTATATCTGTTGCCTTAAAAATACATCATTCTGGCATTTGTTGTCTTTTTCTTACAAATGCATAAATATCAAAATGAAAGACCAGCAGTTCTAATTTTGTTAACTTAAATATAAATTTTTTGACCTTTTATCAAATATAAATGTAAGAACATAACATGTATTTTCTCGTTTGTTTTTTCAAGATATTTAAATTTTTTAAGTGAATTATGATTATGTAAATTATTAATATTTGAAAATGCTCAAAAATTTACTTGTTGTAAGTATCTGCCATATATATTGGTCATTATTTAATTTGACTCTATTGTGGCATATTAGAATAGCAATATAGGAAATAGAAAATTAGTATTTGCTCCAGTTTTCTTGTCCTCATACACCTCTTATGAGTCAAATTAAAATAACAAGCGATATATGATTGCATTAGCTAAGACTATTTAGTATTTACAATATTATTTGATCTATATTTCAATTAGTCATGAAAATAATTTAAAATTAATATTTTTATAATTCGTAAACATACTATATAGATTAGATTTTATATGAACCGAATTTCTTGCGATTCAAATGGGGTCCAGTCCGTTTAGGTCTTGATTTATGAGTCTGCTGTAAACAAAAAATATAAGTCATCAAAATAGAATTAAAACTAAAATAATATATGTTTGTATGTTATATACCTTTATGTATGTATTTCATGCAATATTATTAAAATGTATTGATCTTATTTTTTACTATATTATCTAAGAAAAAAATTAAATATTAGCTTTCTGTATCCGGTCAGGCATTTTAACTTGCAATAAAAATTAAAATATTTAATTTTAACTGTTAAATTAGTTATTTACTTAAGTAACTTAAGTTTTTCATTCTCATGCATTTAACAGAGTATTATAAGATTAACTATTTTATTTTAAATGGTAAATATTACGTTATTAATGTTTCTACCAATTTTTTTTATTTTAGGGTTTTAACTACACCAAATGAAAAAACATGGCCTGGTGTTTCAGAATTAAAGGACTACAAACCTTCATTCCCAACATGGAGCGAAAATATATTAGAGAGATCTGTCAAGAACATAAACCATGTGGGGTTAAACCTACTTCAAGTAAATTAATTAGATTTAGATTAAACATTTCACTTATTTATTAATTTATTAAATTTCCTCTAATAGAAAATGTTGATCTATGATCCGAGTGAACGCATCAATGCCAGAGATGCACTACAACACCCTTATTTCAAGGATTTAAATAAAAATACGCTTCCAGCACATCCTGAAATTAAATTTTGAATAATACACAATATTAAATTAATTTTTATATTTACATATATCTTTTAAAGGACAAATAGAATAATAAGTATAGAATGTTTATTCATGTATAACAGAAATAAATAATAATTTTCCTTCAATTTTTTTTTTTATTTATGGGATACTCTTGAATAAATGTAATGTCTTTTGAATAATTTTACTCTAATTGATATACAATTCATTTTATGTTAAAATAAAGGATAATTAGTCAACACTAATAAATATTTACTGAAAAAATATCTATATTTTAGAACTAGATGAATAAATAGAGTTTAAAAATCAAACATTATCTATTCATATTTCCAGTTAAGATGGTAATCAAGTTAATAGAATTTTTTTGAAAATTGCTGTACATTTAATTTGCAAAAATAGATAGAACATTTGAACAACTTTATAGTTTATATACTATTGTTTATTTGTTTGTGGAAAATCAAATTACCAGTGAATCAACCGTCCCGCAAAATGTTTAATAATTGTTATTGTGGACTACAGGACTAGCTTAATCGATCTAAATTCTGATCTTTGCCCTTTGGTTAAAAAAAATATTCTATTTATGGAAAATTAATTCAGAATAATAATTATATAATGACATTGAGCGGCACATGGAGGTGTTCAATCCGTTATTACGCGAATTAACAATCGTGGTTATTAGGTTGTGGCGATGCGTATTTTCGTTCCGGCATGTGGCAGCACTGTTTCCGCGTAGTGTGTTGTGGATTGGCTGGTCGACGGCGAAGGGCCAATTCGTGGTTGCTGTCTGACGTTTGCGCGCTGTCTCATACTCTCATTGGTGACGAGTATTTCGGCCAATCGTTAGAATAATCTCCGGACCAATATCCCGCTGTCCAATGTAAGTTCGTCTCGAAATTCGCACTAAACTTTTAATGCTCGTCAAAATGCGCGCGCTAACGTACCTCGGGAACCCCGATCCTTCATCTTGCGCTTTGACCTCGGCAGGGGGCCCCTGGACCCGAGTGCAACGACGACATTGCCCGCAACGCACGGACGAGTTTGTTTCTGGAAACCCGTTGCACCCGTCGTCTCGCTTCCCGTTACCCCGTGATTTCACCACTAGTCCATAACCCACCAACTTAACCTGTCAGAATTTTTAATTATTTTTATCGACGACATTTTTGTGTCCCGTATTTCCATCGTTTTGCTATCATTATGAACCCGATAACGAATGTATCGTTTTCAGTTGAACCCATCAATCATGGACCAACAGATCGGCTCAGACGGACACATGACTGTCGTCCAAGCGATCCCGACGTCCAACAATCAGGTGCAAGTGGTCCAAGCGGGTCAGGTGATACAGAGTGCTAACGGCCAGCAAATTGTTGTGCATGCCGTTCCCCAGAATACCGGTCAGTCAGTGCATTTAGGTTCGCCAGGCAACCAACAATTGCAACTGCTCCAACTTCCTGTACAAGTATGCTCGCATTGTTTTTTCTCCTCTTCTGTGCGTTTGCAGTTTTAATATTTATCTTTGTAATTGTTCTTAATCCAGCAGCAAGCTCAAGCACAGTTGATTCAGACACCTGATGGACAAACGTTCATTTACCAGCCAGTACAAGTTGACAACGGTCAATCGATTGCCCAACAACAAACTCAACCAACATGTATGTTTCATTTTGAGTGTATCATTATGGTATTTTTAATTAACAATAATTTAATTATAATTTACGATATTTTCAGTAATAAGCATTAATGGAAACATCATGCAATTATCCAGTCCACCGTCAGGTAATTCCCCAACCGTCACTCAAACAGCCACTACTGTTACACAAGGAGTTCCTCAAAATCAACAGAATATTGTCATGGTAATATATACGAATTTAATTTAAAACAAATCTTTTGATATTCTATGGTTCATTAACACATTGACCGCCATGAGCTCTTGTATGAGATCTCACCAGTTTACTCCCTGCCGCCAAGGGGGTTTTACTTGGCAACAGTTTTGACGATTTAAACAAATATTGATAAAAAAAAAACTAAAAATGATATCTGCAAGCTTATTACACCATCTGAAAGTGGCAACACTGTACTTTTCAAATCCGACAAAAAGTACCGAATATTGAGACTCCGTATGAGATCTCACCAAAAATCGATTTCGGTGAGATCTCATATGGAGTCTCGATATTCAGTACTAGTAATTGTTTTGAGATCTCAAATAAAATCTCATGGCGGTTATGAGTTACAAGAAAAAAAAAACCGTGGCGGTCAACGAGTTAAGAACTTTAACTATGTTCACTAAACTTTTGCCATCTTTGCTGTTTATTATTCTCATTCCCTGAAACCACATTTATTCAGATTTTTGATCTACCCAACATTGTTGTTTACCCTTTCATCTCTCTTTTGGTGTCATTAGATTTATAAATATGGCCATCTCATTAGAGTATTTTGATCATCAAGTCTTATTCATATACTTTAAACACAGATTTTATGTATGATGTATTTAATGTATTCATTTTTTTTTCTTGTGTTCACCATTTTCCAACATTGACCCATATATATTTATTTTTAATACCTACTTCTTGTTAAAGATACTTAAAATCAGTCTTTTGTTGAAAATTGTCATTTTTGACCAATAATTCTAGTTTTAGTGTCTGTTGCCAATTTTACTTTGTCCACAAAATAATGATCCAGTCCTGTAGARTTAGCTAAATTTGATTATTGTTTTGATTATTTCAACTAATTTAAAGTAATATTCTACAGGCTTCATTGAATTCGGGTTTTTTAATATATCAATTATAATGATACAGTACCATATCAATATCCCCTATGGGTACCAACCATTAGATCAGTGGTAAAGTATTATAATGAAAGGTGCATCTATGATGTTATGAAATATATAAATTGACATCAGGCCTTTGAAAAAGATTCTTACTTGTTGGCTTAAAATAGGGGGAAACTTCCATTTCTGAAATTTGTCTGATTGGAAAAATATGGTTTATTAATTTAATTATAGATGGTACCAAATGGGAATGCCCCCAATAATAATCAATTTCAACGAGTACCCACAACAGCAGAGTTCCTTGAAGAAGAGCCTTTATACGTAAATGCTAAACAGTACAAAAGAATACTGAAAAGAAGGCAAGCACGAGCAAAATTAGAGGCAGAAGGGAAGATACCAAAAACTCGACAAGTAAATAACATTTTTAGAACTTCAACATAATATTTTATGTAATATTACCTATATTAAATGTAATCATTTTTATTTTAGAAATATTTATATGAATCACGTCATAAACATGCCATGAATCGTATACGAGGAGAAGGTGGTCGTTTCCATTCAGGTTCACTGAAGAGAATGAGTATGTCAAGTAGTAAGAATATGCAAAATGATGACTGTAACATTCGAATGGACAATCATAGTTATCATGTAACTATTAAACGCCAAATTGATGATGAACAAAATTTGCATTCCCATAATGGAATAGTTTATACCATAAATGGCTAGTAAAAAAAGCCAATTTTCTCAATTGAACTAAGAATTATGTGTTAACTGTTAAATTTAAAAGAAATGTTTTTTATTTGACTTAATTACTTGTAAAGTTGTAACTTTTAAGACTTTAAATTTATTATTTAAATATTTTTCGTTTAGACTTTGTTGAGTACTGTATTCATTTAAACTTAAGTACCAATGTGAGATAATYAWYTTTTTTTTTTTTTTTTTTTTTTTTTTTTTTTTTTTTTTTTTTTTTTTTTGTAATTGAATAATCAACTTTCCAACCCTTTTAAGTAGATATTTTGAAATGTACATATTATTTATAAAGAATTAAATGAGTAAATAAATATGATAAATAAAATGTCTTAAAACATATCTCCTTTTGAACAAATTAATATAGACCGCATAATGGTAGTTAACATTTTAAAGTTAAAAATCTAATGTAAAATATCATAAAAAAAAAATTAATCACAATTTTATTTTTTTTATATTTACTACATGAGCCATACCACTAAATTTTCATTGAGAAATATGATAAAGGCCATATTCGACAAATAACTCGTCCATGTATTAATCCTTTAGGTACAGGACCAAAATCCCAAGAATCTCTTGAATTTGTATGATTATCACCTTCCAACCATACTGAGCCTTTTGGTACCTATAATATAAATTAATGATTAAAAAAAAGTTCATCAAAGTCCAAAATTGGTTTAAAGTTGAAGGTTTAAGTATATGTACTATCTAATCATTTTATGTATATCAATACCAAACAAAAAAGGGTGGAATGGAACTTCGACATTGATCAATGATGTCTGGTGTTTATCCCAAGGAAAAGTCTTAACAATCAACAGGTATATTATACCCAATGAAAATTGGGAAAATTAAAATGTAAAACTTGGGTACTTAAAGAATGGGCTGTCATATAGTATGCGGTCTACCGGCAAATGCGTTCTACYAGCCRCTGTAGGATGCGGTCTACCTGCGGTTTTTACCGGTTTTATTTTTAATAGATACACTTTAATCTTTTTCTATCTTTTAGATATACTTTATCTTAATTACATTATACACAGATAACAATACTTCAATATTTTGTAAAAGTATTGGCTCAATAGCTCAATATGTCATTTATTGCGCGACACCATATTATATTTTATACACCCAATATGTTGGCAAAAGATTTTTATTCAATAATTAGTAGTGACGAATCAACCACAAATTTTTTAATTAGCAAAAAACTTGTGGCAAATAATGAAAAAGCCGAATGTATTAAGTGTGGAAGTGCTATGAATTTATACCTACGTAAGGAGAGAGGTAAGGAAAGGAGAGTTTTACGTTGTAAGAGAAAGGGATGTCAAACAACACAAAGCTTAAGGTGAGAAAATTATTTTATTAATAATAATTATACTACTAATAATTATACTATTATATAGGAAAGATAATGCTTTTTGGACTTATATTGACAACAATGGTCGTCTAAATAGTGGACTAAGCCTCAGTCAACAGTTAGAACTAGTGTTCTACTGGACTCAAGGTTTATCCAATAAAACAATCATGTCCTTAACTGGAAGWTCGTCCAACACCGTATGTGATTGGATGAATTTGTGTCGGGATATACCACTAAAAATGTTCAAAAGACGTAATAAATTTGGAGGACCTGATTTATTTATTCGCGGTAGACCGCATACTATACTCGTAAATCGCCGGTAGAMCGCATACTATACTCGTAAATTCACCGGTAGACCGCATACTATATGACAGCCTAAAGAATGAATTAAAATTAATTAATATCCATTTCATCAATATTACTGAAATGCATAATTTAAATAAATGTACAATGCACAAATCGAATTCAACTAAAGTGAAAATGATTTGAATTTACCAGATATATCTGTTTTTACATATTTTTATCATAGATATTTACATCAGAACAAAAACTCTCCAATAATAATAGCAAATTTTTTTACAATCCTACCAATTGATAATTTATTCCTCTTCTAACCATTTGGCCATCGACAGCTTTCACCCTCTTCATAATGAATTTTTCATATTCTTCAGGCGACTTTGCGATAATAACGTCTCCTTTATCTACACTGTTAACCATCTTTGAGAAACGTTGAATGATCACCAAATCACCAGAGTGAAAAGATGGCTCCATGGAATCACCTGAACACTAAGATTACCCATAAAAATTAGATTAGAGGTTTAAATTCACAGAAAAAATGACTACTTACTAAGAATATATCAGCTACATGTTCTGTTACACAATGAACAACACAATAATATTTAAAAGACGTAAAAACAAAACTTCCTACTTTTTTAAACATTGGTTTTTTAACATTATTTAATAACAGTATGAAATTCAATGAAAAATAAATGTCTTGTCAATTGAACTTAAGGCTGATCATAATATTTTAACATCATAAATCATAAAATATACTTCCAATTTTCACTCATATTTCATACTCACAGTTCATAGTAATACAATTAAAATATAGGTAAATACTATTAATTCTAAATAGTGTATTATGATTTATAAATTTATAATAAATATTCTTCAAAAATATAAATACTATAATCTTTGATACTATGAAGTGGGTATTCGTATTTGATAATAATATTATCAAATCCAGCCGGCAACCGAAAATTCATTGATAATAACATTGATTATAAATGCTATTTATATTCTACAAGCATTGATTTTAAAATTTAATTTTTCACTTTTTCAGAATCCCGATTCATGAGTTCGTACTGTTTGTACCTAGTCTTTCAAGAAATCCGATTAGAAAAAAAAAACCGCACCATTATATTTAAACCGATAGACTACCAAAATATACAAAATAATACAGCATTAGGGAAATGGCCCATAGCTAGAGTTGCCACCTCTCTGGGTTTCACCCGGATACTCCGGTTTTACAAATAAATCTACGGACCACGGGTTCAGTGAATTATTCTCCGGTTTATCTAATTTTGTCTAATATGTTCTAATATTGAAAATTTAAAAAAATGTAAAGTACGAATTTAAACATAATAAACATATTTTGTACTTTTCAACATCTAATAAAATAAGTGATTAAATTAACTTTTTTTTTCAAATTGTTATACCTTTTATTAATTATATTTTAATTTTTATCTGTTATACACATGATAGGTACATAATATATAGTATAATTTTATTTACCTTTTTTTTTTTTGCTTATTAGCCTATTTCGTCTCTGGGTCTGCCATCTTTCAAAGGTGGCAACTCTACGTCTCTACCCATAGCCATAGGCGTAACTAGACCTTAAAGTTGGGGGGGGGCTGAAGCCCTAACATATTTAATATATATAACAAATGTGGTGGCCTCTGCCCCCCACACCCCCTTATACTTATTCCTTAAATCATGACATTAATTTATTATTATAATTTTTGTAGTGTGTATCGTGTATGGCATGTATAAAACAAATTATAAAAATGTGGTATTGAGGTAGGTTAACATTAAAATAGTAACATATTATTATTATAACATTTTTTTACGAATAATCGTACGTCTTTTACGTCAATTTTTGTGTTTAGTTTATTGACAACTTCTAAATAGTATTTATATAGTTAAAAATACACGAAATGATACGTATTACGTCACAGGGTCATTACACAACAATTTGATAACCAAAAAAATAAATATTTTTCCAAGATATTAATAAAAAAA